GGGCTGGGATCTCGCCGTCTCCTATCCACCCTCCAGATTCCAGTAGGTGAACCTCTTCCTTCTGTAGAGCAAAGCAGGATCAGGAACAAGAGCTCAGTATCTAAGGGAGTATGAAGAGCATAGCAATCCCTGTAGTGATTATAGCTGTCCCCTACAAACATGAGTCGAGGCTGCAAGTTAGAGGGTCAAGTCATTCTGTTTCATTGGCACCAAAGGGCCTTCTCTTATGCAGGTTTTTCTTACATAGGACCACCCACAGGGTTTTACAGAACAACACAAAATTCTCCCCTCTGCCTGTGATATAATTATGGTACACAATGGGTGACATAATTATCACAGGCAGGAAAAATAAAGTTTTTATACATGTCCTATAACTTTAAAACCATACATCCAATCTTCATAAAAACCACATTTTATTAATCAGCATCCTCTAAATATAAACATACTCACAAATCCTAAAAATCAGTTCAGTAGATCAAAAGTTAGACGGAAGTCCTTTATGACCAACCGCAAGCACATTTTCATGCCCAAAACAGTTACATAGATTTGGGCTGTGCGGTCGGTCTAGTTCAGGCTGAAAAATTGACTAAATTCCATCGCCGAATGGGACTTAATCTCTGTGGCTGAAAGTTCAGTATGGGAGAAGGTACAAGTCATACCGCTGACCTCGTTCGAATGAACAAAGATGGCCGCCGCCACGTGTTGGTTTGCACGAACTGCGGGCACCCAGCAGTCGGCAATTTACCTACAGCAGGCTCCCAGCCTGGGAGGTAGATTGCCTGCACACTTCCACTTCTAGATGGCCCGCCTGTGTGGTACTTGGTTCAGTAAGCCCCATTTAGCCAGGAACAAAGGGTTTTAACCAAGACTGGGGACACAGGCTTAAAGGGGCAGTGTCCCAAACAAGTCTGGGGACACCGTCTTAAAGGGACTTTGTCCCAATTTTCTCTGTCCCAAAAATGTGCTTAAAGGGCCAGCACCAGTTCCCTAAAAGTCCCTAAGCCCCAATATGCCCACCGACTGTATTAAAGGGCCATACACCCTCAGTCCATAGTCATGGGGAAGGAGGCTGGCGATAAGGCTTCTCCATAATACCGGGAAGCAGGGAATTTTGTCACTGGAAATAAAAGTTACAAAAGGCCTTTTGTGACAAGCAGAGTTTTCCGCACACACGCCTCACGTGGTTTTGGCAGGGCTGGACGGCAGCAGGGTAGTGCCACCAGCTGCTTCTGGACATCTAGCCACTGAGGATCCCGGGCACCATCGTTCTTTCCCAGCTACCATTCTGGGTCCTTCACTTCCCATAGGTTGGACCGCGTTAGAGGAAGCCAGGCTCGTGGAAGAGCCAGGATGCCCACAGATGAGCCCCGTTTCTCCATTTTTCCAATCCAGTCTATTGCATGCCGGCAGGTTGTGTCATTGTCTCGACAGGTGGCGGGACATTTCCTCGGATGCATGGATACTACAGACGGTCCAAGGCTACGTTATAGATTTTCATTCACCGCCGATACAAGATCGACTACACCTGCCTCCTATATTGGCGAGGGAATATCAGACACTGGTGGATGCCGAAATACAAGCCCTTTTCGACAAAGTGGTGGTTCAATTGGCACTGGACGAAGGAGGTTTCGTCAGCTCCATATTTCTGGTCAGGAAGAAGACAGGAGACTTCCGTCCGGTAATAAACGCCATCGTCTTCTATCGACACTTCAAGATGGAGGGCATCCATCTTCTTAAGGGACCTACTTCATCCTGGGGATAGGTTCACATGCCTAGACCTAAAGGATGCCTACCTGTCTGTCCCAGTGGAACCCACGTGCCGACATTTTCGACGTTTTGTATGGAAGGGAAGACCTAGCCAATTTTCCAGTCTACCGTTCAGCCTCAGCTCGGCCCCTTGGTGTTTCACCAAGCTGCTGACGGCGCAACTATGCTCCAGAGAAATTCGATGCCTTATATAGATGATCTGCTATTATTCTACAAGGACTCCTCAAGACTGAGATCTCAAACACGCTATGTGATCTACTTGTACGAATCCCTGGGTTTTGTGGTCAACCGAGAGAAGTCGGCTCTCACACCAACGCGGGTGGTACAATTCTTGGGATTCGAAATAGACGCAACTCAGTGCATCCTACGTCTCCCTCAGTCCAAGGTAACCACCATTCAGAAGGAAATCTGAAGGATGCTACGTCAGGAGCAGATACTGCTCAGGGTACTGGCGCGAGTATTGGGCATCTTGTCCGCATCGATCCAAGCCATCAACCCGGAACCCCTTCACTACAGGGCCATGCCGCGCCTGAGGCAATCTTTCTACGCAGGAGGTCCTCCTACGATCAACTGATCCCCCTCACGCAGGAAGTCAGGGTCGAACTTCGCTCGTGGCTACTATACATGTCGGCCCGACTCCGGACTTCGTTCTGGAGTCAGACGTGCCAGTATATTTATACTGGCAGACATTTTGTCTTAAGACAGAAATTAAATTTGTATACTATAAGTCACCATGAGAACAGAGGTCACTCCATTTTGTAACAGAAAGACAGACACAAAATTCTTTCTCTCTAACTCTACTCATTCAAGCCTGAGATAAAACATAAGATAAGGCATGTTGTCATGTTGTCTACAGCAGGTAGGGGTTAAATGTAACAACCCTGAGATATATTTATATATATATATATATATATATATATATATATATAGAGAGAGAGAGAGAGAGAGAGAGAGAGAGATACACACACACTATCCACAAGCAACTTCCTATTATAGTAATCGTATATAAACAGTACTATGTTAATAATATATAATATCAATGAAGAAATGTCATATTATTTACTAATGTTAGTGGAATATGTGTAATCTAAACTACAGTTTCACACAAGAAAACCAGACAGGATCACCAATGACAGATAACACTAAGTAATTAATTTTACTTTCTAAAAACTAATGGAATCTTACAAAGTTCCATTGTAAGGAAGGGTGAAATTAAGGTTACAGGTGTCCGATTCTAAATTATGACACCAAATTGACAGCTTCTTTGACGAATAGTAGCCAAAAGAGATAACCAAGATGATGTCAAACGCATCACAAAATTCAGTTAACCCATTATACAAAAAGGTAAATGGACCCCCTTGCAAGAATTTTCAGTGATGTAATTACACCATCTACTGACCAAAATCTAGATGATAGTCTGAAGGGAAGACACGCCCACATTTCTTTATTGGTCACTATCAACTAGTGATGTATAGGAAATTCTCCTTTAAAAATTAAGGACAAAGGAGAGAGGGGGACTCTTAGACATAAACTCAAGACTCACACTTAACATCCATGATCTAACATCTGAAACCAAAGCTGGACACACCTAATTCTTTATATTTTTTTCCAACTAACACAACTTGCATTAAAAATTCCTGGGACATATCTACACATCTGATAGAAAATTTACAACCTAACTGGTAATTATGCTGTTTTTTATTTAATTTAATTTAATTAATTGATTTTAGTAAAGGGCAGAATATATAAAAGCTGGTGATTCCAAACATTAAGGAGTCATGATTTGTTAATAATATATAGAATTCAAAATGGCGCTTTGTACATATTTTCGTTTTCCCCACTTAAAACCTCCCGGTCAGTCCCTAGTTGGTTTTCCCCTCAAACCTCCCTCTGGGCCTGATCATCACTCCAAGCCCAGGCAATAAATTCCTAAGCCCTGCATGCTATGTAACACTCCTATATACGAGGAAAATGGATGCTTATCTCACCATACTTACCTTAAACGCCTCAACAGTCCCCAAAAACAGAGAATGACCGCACAAGAAATGCAAAGTCCAAAGCGGCAGTAGTGTGTCTCCAGGAGATTCATTTATGTGCTAGGAATCCACCTAAATTCAATGTAAAACACTAGTCACAGAGCTTCCACGCCATGTCCAAAACCAAAGCCAAAGGGGTATCTATTTTTCCACAGTGACTGGGTGTGTACCCCATCTAAACAGTATGCCAGGAAAGACGGACGATTACTAATACTAGTAGGCTCTCTTAATGGGTTATCGGTTACCATAGTTTCCCTGTACGCTCCTAAAGATGCACAGAAATCTTTCCTCACCATGGCTTTTCAAAAAATTGACCAATACAAGTCAGGACACACTCTCATATGCGGAGATTTTAACTGCACACCAGACCCTCACGTGGACATACGTAGAGAACAAGACAAACCACCAAAACCAAGTTCACTCTTTCTAGAGCCCTAATGCATGAACACGACTTTTATGACACATGGCGTAAACCTATACCCTAAGGGGAAGGACTTCACCTACTATTCAGCAGCTCACATGACTTTCACTAGAACATGACTACTAGACATCCAAACCCTGCCATTTGCATCCGAGGCACGCATTGGACCAATAACCTGGTCCGACCACGCGCCGCAAATCGTGGCTATAAAAGTACCATACCCAGCTAGATGAACCAAATAATCTCCAAGGGCTAAAGTTGAAAGCAGAGGAATACTTCTTTTTTTGAAAATATTATTTTTAATATTTATTACCCCATAAATATCCTCACAATTTGGAGGCACACTGCTGAGGTCATTAGTTGAAATTATATTTCACACCGTAATTCGGAGGCACTGCTATTTGTGTAATTTATATAGAAAAGTGTTTTCTATTGAGATTAATTCAGTGTATAGAAATTTGGCTAAGTCCAGCGATCCATCTGTATCAGACAATGTCCAAATAATTGAAGACCTGAGATTTAATACTCTAGTCAATATTTATAAATATATGACGATTGATATAGACTATGAGGAATGGCTATACGACACAGAACGGGAGGCTAATACTTCCATTCTAAAAGATTCATCTATAATAAAACATATTAAAATAATTGGAGACCACAGCAACATAGAGAAAAAAATAGGGTACATAATACACTCTTGGCCTTTCTTTATGTCAGGACATCTAAAGACGTTAGAAGAAAACAGGGCACTGAATACTAGATTGAACACATTTTGGATATTCAAAGTGGGAAATACCAAGATTTAATTGCTGAGCATGAAACCCGTCAGGCTGATCACGAAAAAGAACTGAAAGCTATGATGGATAAATGTGCACAGGAAATAAATCAGCTTAAAAAGCAATTGGAAGAATACAAAAAGGAGAGTCATAAATCAGACAGTGAGGTTAGTAGTCATCACTATGTGCCAAAAAGTTGCACAAAAATACAAGAAAGAGATACCTCTAAATACCCTCCTTATTATGATTTTCCTACACCAGGGCAGGTTTTCCCAAAACAGTCTGAAAGGAAAGATGGCAGAACTGATACTGATTAGCTCAGAGTGATGGGAGTGAAAGTGATTGCACTGTCCACTCTGAAGACCTAATCCCTATTCAGCAGCTAGATCGCACAGACGTTTACCTAAAAGCAGGGAAACTAGAAACAAGAGCCATAAATCAATTACTCCTGTCTATGAAACTCCTTGATAATTATATTCCTTAAAGAGACAGTCCCACAATTTTCTAGAAGTTCAGGAAACATATCTGAGCACCTAGAAAATTATGAAAGAGCCATGAATTCATTGGGCATGTATTATGACATCCATAAGAAATGGTACATCACTTGGACCTTTGATTCAATGTGCCGTATCCATCTAGAGAGTCTTCAAGCTATGCAGCTAATGTCCTGGTCACATATAAAATCTGAGATAATAATGGAATATGGTAAGTATAAAACTATTTCTTCTGCTAAGAAAGCGCTTTATAACTTAAAGTGCCATCCAGATCAAAGCCCCAGAGAATTTTTAATAATTCTTAAAAATGCATATTTCATGGCCCAAAGGAAACCCAGGTATGAAATTACAGAATTCAAAGAGCTGTACTTTCATGCTATGCCGGTAAATATACAGATGAATCTCGCAAGAGATTATGATTGTAAGTTACCGTTACAATGGATAGTTAGCCAGTGCATAAAATTGTATACTATATACCATGCACATGGCGAAAATCTAAAGGTTAAGAAACCTGGTGATAAAATGGTGTCAGACTAAAATTCAGTTAGGTTTGGAAACCCAACAGAAAAAGAGGACTTATTCTGAGGTTCTGAAAACTCCAAAACCTCAGAAACAGGAAAATGCCATACGCAATCCTGTAAATTTCTCTGATAACTGTAAAAAGTCCAATACCAATGGGAATAAACGTTTAATAAGAACCAAGGCAATTCCAAATGGAGAAGGAATCCTCAGGGAAATAGGAGATATGGAAACAGAAACAACCAATCTGCTCCCAATAACTACCAACAGTCTCAGCCATCCCAGCCTAATTCTAATGGGCAAGGACAAAACGGCAATGGCAGAAATAAATTGCGTCAGGTTGGTCAATTGACTGACCAGATGGGCAAATTAATGGAAGAAATGACAAAGATTAACCAAGTCTTTGCCAGAAATCCTTTTTTAGGGACAGCCCCAACTGCAGAGCCATCTATTCAATGGCAACAGCAACCACAGGTGTTGCTGCAATAACAGCCACTGTGACTAAACAGGCTAGGTTTGTAACGGCACCCCCAGGCATAAAAGGGCCAACTGTCTCTGCCCCCTGTAACTCAGCCTGCCACTGGGGAATGGAGCCTGGGCTCCCAATTCCCTGCAATTTACTCTGCCGCTGGGGATCTGAGCCGACCGCCCAGCATCCCTGTAGCTCACCTTGCCACTGGTGAGGGAGGATGCTGCTCTCCTCTCCCTGCAAGGTACACTGCCACGGGGGGACAGGACCAACTGTCTCTGTCCCCTGTAACTCAGCCTGCCGCTGAGGAATAGAGCCTGGGCTCCCAATTCCCTGCAGGACCGGTGGAGACCTCGGTCCCATCTCCACCAACCACCTGGGGTTCTTCCCAGTAATACTCTGCAATATCTACCCAGCTGAATGGGTCTGGGTCTCCGCTTCCCTGCTGAGCCTTCTCACTGGAGTGGAACAGATCTTGGTAGCCCTGCTCCAGCTCCATCTCTCTGGTTACTAAGTGGACCAGGCCTTGCTCGATCTCATGAGTGTCGTCCCAGTCATACCTGCTCTCCCTCCACTCCAAGAGATCACTGAACCGGGCTTGTGTAGGGCTCCCAAACTCAGGCTCTGAAAAAGCCTCCCATAACAAGCCAGGACCATCAAACTCCTCTCCCTCTGGCTTGTCATGCTCAGCTGTCCAGGGCAGGTACTGTGCCCCATACCACCAGAGCGCCTGGTAGGCATCTTCCAGCCACATCTCCTGCCATACCCGGAGCTCCAATTCCTTCACTCATTCATCCAGGGGCTGCTCTCCCAGGAAGGGCATCCACAGGGCTAGTCGCTTCTGCAATCACTGGTCTTCCTTGGGGAGTCTCTCGCCCCGCTGGTACTCCACAATACCAAGTGCCTGGTACCAGATGCCTTTGCGAACTGCATCTCGGTCATCCATGACACCCTCATCGTACTCCACTGCTGGTTCCATCCTGGTGCTGTCAGGGTCGCTGTACTGGAACATGCGTCGCCCTCAAATTGTAAAATCCAACAAAATGGTGTCTCCTGTAGCTGTCCTTCTGGCTGTAGGAACGATCCCGCCGCTTGCCACCAATTGTAACGGCACCCCCAGGCATAAAAGGGTTAAACCGCTGTTTAGTAGATCTTCCCTTCCAGAGACACAGGCACAGCTACTGAAGAACACCAATCCGCCGAACAGGAAACCATATGAATGCTGTAAACAGCTGAATAGGAAAGACCATACGAATAGGTTTACACTCCTAGCAGTCGAACTGGAACAGCATACAATAAATCCCCCCAAGAACGAGACAAAGCTCCGTGTTGAGGGTCAAGCAGTAAACAGCCAGAGCTGTGGGTTTATTGTGCTTATGTACACATTCTTACACATTAGTACCACCCACAGGGTTTTGGAACACAACCAATAAACACATACAATATGCTCAGACACTCCCACACAAAATCCTCCCCTCTGCCTGTGATACAATTACCTTACACAATGGGTAATGTAATTATTACAAGCAGAGAAATACAGTTTTTCCACATTATTCATAACTGGAAAAGTATGCATCACATTCACATAAAACTTACATTTTCAGAATCAGCATTCTCCAAATACAAACATACGTCAAATTCATACAAATTGGTCCAATGGTTCAAAAGATAGATCGTAGTCCTTTGTGACCAAATGAAGCATGGCTTTTCTGCCCAAAACCAGTTCCACAGAGTCTTCTATCCTGGAGATAATTGTGAAGTAATCCAATTATCTCCAAAGACAGAGGCAAAACTCCATTGAACACATGGCAGCAAAAGATAATAAAACACATAAAAACATATAACTGTGCAGCCATTGCACAAAACAAGTACATTCAACATATCCCTAGATAGCTCAGATCTGAGCACACATTATTACTGAATGGCGTTCAGAGCACACACATACAGATCAATTGCCATGGAGCCAAAGTCTTTGCCATAGTCTTTCATTATACGAATAGGCTCCATGGCATAGCTATCTGGGGTATCACCGCTCAAACAGGGCAAGCACCAAAGGCTTTCATGTCTTTGCAGGGGAAAATCAAGCCTTTTAACATGGGGCCATAATCCAAAGGCAACAGGCGAGCAACCAGGCTTCTCCAATGCAATGTGGCGAGATTGGTCTCGTCACAGTTGTCATTAGATGTAATGCCTAATCATGTTTCCTTTCCAGATCCTCACACTCAGACAAACAATAGTTTTGTTAGCAACATTATTGCCTGCCCCGTCACTTCACTTTCGGGTGAAGGAGGCGCAACGTGTTCCTGTTTTTTTTATTTCAGCCGAAGGCTAAACTATCCCTAACAGCCTCTAGTTTCCAGGATCCAGACCTGAAAGGGTTAACCGATGAGACGCCAACCACTAGTTCCCTCTTGATAGTTCAAGATATTCCTAAGAAGGATGGGTCAGTGGGTAAGACTGAGCATTCCTCAATACAGGTAGAAACTACTGCTGTGACATGTAACGTATGGAAAACGAGTGATATGATTCTAAATTCTTATGTGAATTAGAAGAACATGAAGAAAGGTACTATATGTCTGTAGAAATACAGGATTCCCTACCCCAACCTTTCAAAGGGTTAATAGATTCTGGTTCACAAACCACTATCTTATCCAATACCTACTTCCAGCAGGTAATGGACTTAGCAACGGATAAGCCGAAGCTAAGAGATTTCCCCAATGCTCTGTTGAGTGTAGGAGGAAATGTCCTTCATGTTATTGGCAATACCTGGTTGAAGTTTAAAATAGGTAACAAAACCTGTAGACACCCGGTAATAGTGGTAGATCTCCCTATGACCGACTGATTCTGGGTATAGACCTACTCTAAAGACTTAACACAATTATTGACTGTGTGAATGGAATTGTATGGTAACAAGCCAAGGTTCCCATAACCTATGAGAAATCACGTGTTCAATCCGAACGTAACTGCCATATGATAGAAGAAAGACCTGACTCTATTGAGATACATTTTAGGAATAGTCAGTCACCTGATGTGGCTATCCTGCAGGTGAATGATGCAATCGCACCTGTAGATGAACGTTCCATAAGAGTTGCTCCAGAGAGAATCCAGAATGTCTCTCTAGAAGGTGATGTTTTAACCATTTCTCTCCACATGGACTATGTTGAATCTGTTGATCTGGCAGGTCATGCTCAATTTCTTGGCAGAATTAAAAGGGTTAATAATAACTTTTTTCTATTCAAATAAATGACGTGGGAAGAAGTAGGAATGCAAAGCTGGACTTAAAGAGTGAGAACAGCTATATTAGCAGAAGTCTGTTAAAGCAGATAGCTAATTCTAAAATGATCAGGTACGCTTCCCCACATGACAGGTGGATCCAGAGGATCACCTGATCAACTCCAACTTGTGGACAGGGTTAAAAGGTAATCCTTGTGGATACCAACACGAGGAAAATGCCCTGAAATCAGGACGAATACTACCATACGCGGTAAGTATCCAAGTACTTGATGACATAACCATTACACAAGGGACAAGTAACTTTCTTTTACCCTTACAGATCAAGAAGGGTCAGAGATTGAAAAACTCTGATGCCCTAATCTGTTTATCTAATAGGATACAACAATTAGGGATGGTGGTGTATTGGTAAGTATTGGTAAGAATTCCACCTATGTAATAGTCAACAATGTTACACCCGATAGTGTTACTTTACCAAAAGGAACATTATTAGTGTGACGAAAGTAACATCGTCACTGGCTTTTGGCCAGCCTCCTACCCTGTGATTATGGCCCTGTGACAAACTGAACCTCGTCAAGGGTTCT